AATGTTAATTTAACATTACAATTATGGATAAAAGCATATTTTTATAATATATTAAGTATAATAAATATAAATATTTAAATTTTCATCCAGACGCCAACAACCAAATAACCTCATAATAGGTTAGAATAAACCTAATAATAGGTTAGAATTGGGGTGTCAATAACTGTGGCATTTCTAAAATAATGAACCTAGTTATTGACACCCACATTTTAATACATAAATGTGATTTAATGTGATATATTATAATTAAAAACTAAATAATATATAATTATTAACTAATCTATATATTTTTTATTATATTTTTATACTTACATGATAAATAATTGGCTGATTCGATCGACGAGCGCTCTTACGTATGCTGCTTAGAATATAGCTTAAAAATGGCTTCGACAGTCATTCAACACTTAAATTTTTTTTTTATAAAGTTATTTCTTTTTTGACGGTTGGAAACTTAATTAATTACGTACATAATTAATTAATTTAAATTTTAATAAAATTTATATAACTATTTAACAAAATGTTTTTATTTTAAATTTAAAATAAAGTTGGAAGTGTCACTAACTGGGTCAGGGTATATAACTGGGTCTTTTACCTTATAACCCCTCTGGGCTATCCACTACGACTTTCAACACGGTTTGGCAGATTTGACATATTATCTTTTTAAATATTTTTTTCTTTCATTATCTTTAATTTTACAAACATACTCCGTTTTCTCCAAGATGTTTTCCTTCACCGACGGACATATAAAAAAAAATTGAACTAAAATTGCAATTAACAATTTCATTGGTGCCGGCTACGGGATTTTGTACTCAGGTCGTCAGACTTGTTGAATTAATAGCGAGCGCCCGGACACTGAGCTGTTACGGTTATTAATAATTAAATGTTATTATTAATTATCAGCCCTCCCTAAGTCGCTCGCGCTGTAACCAGGCAGTCATACGTACTTTTTCCCGCCGGATAACACTACACACACAGCTAGTGTAACAACAAACACAATAGTTCGCCCTCGCCTCCGAGCACGGCGAGACCAACACGACGCGTACACAAGGTACACCCGCGTCCCGGGCGGTTCTCACCGCCCCCAGACACCGATTAGCTAAAAACACAGTCCACGGCCATCGAGGTCTCGGTCCGTACTGCAACCTCGATGGCCTTTAGATGACATGCCGTAGTTAAACGCACGCATGAGCATATGCGTGGCCCTAGCCACAGCGGGGGGCCCAAACCCGTGGGTTCTGGCTAGCCAACCGGTTCTGCGTCAGATGAAGCTTTAATAGTCTCGGGACTGAAAGCACAAACATCAGTTAATACAAGATATAAGAAGTGAGAAGTACGCGGACTACCCTAATGGGTTCCATCCATCCTTACGACTAGAAAAATATTGTGTGATGAGCATAGTGCTCCAGTGTCTGGGTTTATATATTGACACAATGTATTTTTTTACAAAAGAAAACTATTTCCAAGTATGTTCATCAGTTATCTAGTACCCACAGCTCAAGCGTTGCATAGTGAAAACTAGGAAACAGTGTGTAAAATTTTGGTGAAAATAGTGTGTAAAATTTTGTCCTGTCGTGAAACTAGCCTAATCTATTATTTTTACGTTCCAACTGGAATAATGCATTTTCCACCGCCACAGAGTCCGTCCCTGTCGATTTCAGCTCCGGGCCGCCATAACTCGGGCGTTCGTCCCAAACGGCGTGCACTCGAAACGACAAATGACGATTATTTCTCCGAACAAATGGCCTTTTCAAGAAGTAACTCATCATGTCAGCCTATTTGAGCCCACCGCTGAACGTATGGCCTCCGCCACGAAGTTCGATCCTGAGCCACCTGCTTCCATCGACTTTTAAGTAATTCTAACAGTATTGATGACCCGAATAGCGTTGTGGATACTGTCTTCTGCGCTAGAGGGTGTGGGTTCGATCCCCACTAATGGAAAAATATTGTGTGGTGAACATAGTGTTTTTCTAGTGTCTGGGTGTCTATATATGTATGATATGTATTTATTTACAATAGAAAAGTATGCTTAAGTATGTTTATCATGCTTAATTTGGTACTAAAGAACGCTGTGTAAAAATATTTAAGTGGGGAAGAATTTCTACGACACGTTCTATGCTTTCAAAACATTATTTATTTTCTCCTTACTTACTAAATACACTTTAATATCGTCTTTTAAAAACTCAACACACGTCTTCCGTCTTAACACCTAGCTCACACTCGCCATACGTCTTCACTCTCGCTCGCTCGCTCTATCCCTCTCGCTCTTTCACTCAACGTTCCGTTTCCCTGCATTCATTGCCCATTCCCACATTTCCCATTTCTTTTTGTAGATGAATCAATGAAACTTTACGCCCCGCGGGAGTCGCGCCTAGACGCTTCACCAACTGAGCTGAGCCATCAAAGAAGAAAATTACACGATGACATAAATTATTGTGAAGGGACATTGTGAAATCGCGAGGACGTTAGGGAAACTGTTGCACTAACATAAGCCCATAGTTACAGGAGAAGGGAATGTAAGCGTGTTGATAAGACAGATTTATGTGTAGTAAACATGTTTATAAGGCAGAATTATAAACAGACAAGACAGTTATAAATACACATTTATAATTCTCGAGGATGCAACGCATAGGTGAAATAATAAAGTTAACAATAAATGTTTAAGTTAATTTACGATGCGCGCGCTATCCGACCCTCAAAAAGCGACATGATGCTTGATTACCAATTCAATATTGGCAAACAGTAAACTATTTGATATTTACTGATAATTCCAAGTTATTTAAATAAACCGTTATCAAAAGCATTTGATGTCTTTACGCGAAAAAAGTATAACTTCTTAATTGCGTACGTAAGTACACACTAGTGATGTCCGGAGATCCCTATCCGTATACATATTCGCGGTTATCCGTCGAAAAAAAGATCTCTATCCATATCCGTATCCGCTACATTTTTGACGGAGTTTTATCCTTATAATCGTTACTAAGGGATAGTTCTAATTAAGTAAATTAATACACTGTGACACTCAAAGTGCTAACTTTAGATTAAAAACACAGTGACAATTAAAGGAACGGTAAACTGTACTTCAAAACGAGTAACTTGGCAGCTTTATGCCCCTAAAGTCATGATAAAAGATAAATATTTATTTATTGAAACCTTTACAAAAGTGGCATGTGTAAAAAGTTTCAATATTGAGTAAACAAAAGTTATATACATATTCATATAAAATTAAATTTAAAACATATTACGTGTATGAATATTAAACCCAATATAACAAAAATATGTTACATTATATAAGGGTTTAAAATAGAATATGTGCGAGCAATATTACTGAGACCTCCAAACTTACTGTTAATCTGCCAATACTTTAGTGGATCTAGGTCTCTTGATAATATTTTTTCTGACATATACTGCATGAGCAAATTGTTTGTCGTATCTAATATTTTATTTTCAGATTGTCCATCACGATTCATTTCATTAGCCATAGACTCTGGCTTTGCTTTATTATACGGTACCACGATTTTCGTTGTGTGTGTGTTGTGTTATGCCCAAAAACCCACCCCTTAATCGTTTTTTGTGCACGATTGAGTAGTGGCTTTTTGGGCATAGCTAACTACGCGATCTCGAGACATACTTGAGGATGGGCTTTTTAATATCACTTTATACTTTTTACTTACGCACGTGTACTTGCAATGTTTTCATGATTCATAGTAAATGGCATGGGCGCTAAAAAGTAATTTCGTATTTAATCTATACATCAATACAGATAAATAAAATTGGAGTGTCTGTTTGTAATATTAAAATAACCGCTTTTTACTAAATGCATATGGATGTGTACACGGTACATATACCTTAATGATATTTCTTATAATTTTTGTTTCTCTGTCTATCTGTTTGTTCCGGCTTATCTCTGAAACGGCTGTATCGATTTTGACGGGACCTTCACTGGCAAATAGCTGATGTAATAAGGAGTAACTTAGGCTTTTATTTTGGAAATCTTATTTATTTTATAGCTAGTACATAAAAAGTACCAGTGCGGGCCGTGTTAAGTGAATACCGCCGCCCATTGACATCTGCTACACCCGAGGGTTGCAGATGCGTTGACAACCATTTGAAAATTGGCCTCTGGCCACTCACTCACCAGACGAAACGTGAATGTATTACACTTCCACTTTACGCCGGTCTTCTGTGAGGTCGTGGTACTCACCCGGACGGGCCAGCCCATTCGTGCAACAGCCGAGGCTGCTGCGTGGCCCTACCACCGTATAATGTTTTTAATATTACTTGGATGTCCAGTTCCTCGCGACGTTTTCTCTCGACGCGCGCACCAATTGAACGTAGAAAATTGCAATTAACAGTTGCCTCGGTGCCGGGCACCGGAAATTTAGCTCGTCGAAGTGAACGAGAACGTCTGATGCAGTCTTTGAACGTAAAATGATGTTCGAACGGAATCACTTCGTTTTTTAGGGTTCCGTACCCAAAGGGTAAAACGGGACCCCATTGCTAAGACTCTGCTGTCTGTCTGTTTGTCTGTCCGTCTGCCTCTAGGCTATATCCCATGAACCGTGATAGTTAGACAGTTGAAATTTTCACAGATAGAACAACAAATAAAATGTTTAATTGGGGCTCGCATACAAAAGATATGATTTTATGCCGTTTTTATAGATAATGGTACGGAACCGATGTTTTCTTTTACCGCTGGGCACGTAATAAGTCAGCACTTTTTTTTTTTTTCATTGGTGCTGGCACCGGAATTTGACTCCTCTCAACTGCAATCTACTGTGCTGGTTTAAGGCAAAGTTATCAACTCTCAACGCTCGAGCAAACCTGCCCCTGTGTTCTTCTTAGGTACACCCTAGAGTGCTGACCTACGGGGCCAGAAACAATTACGTCCTTCTCTGTTTTCAAGTTCTTTCTCAACTGCAATCTCCTGTGCTGCTCTAAGGCGGGTTAATACGCAACGCTCAAGCAAAATCTGAGTCCAAACCCACCGCCGAATGTTCCAGGAGTTGCTGGTCACGCTGTCCACCCTGCTCCGGGGTTCCGTTTACGAGAGGCTGCGCTGGGCGTTCCGCTTGTACGACGTGGACGGCGACGGCGCCATCACGCGGCAGGAGCTGGCCGAGGTGGTGGTGGCGGTCCACGAGCTGCTGGGCAGGCGAGCCCCACCGGGGTCCCCGGCGGCGAGGCTAGACGACGCGAAGGCCAACGAGCAGGTGAACCCCCTAGCTCGAAGGGAAGCCCCGGATCGGATCGAACCGGTTGGGCGCGTTCCATACGATCGCTTTAACCGTGGTGGGGCCGTAACAGTTTTCACTGTTTCACGAACGGCCAGGCCCATCCAGGTAATGACCACGACCTCGTAGAAAACCGGCGTAAAGTAGAAGTGTTACACTTCTGCGTTTCGTACGGCGAGTGAGGTGGCCGCGGCCGACTTTATTTAAAGGTGGCAACGCATTTGCAACCCTACGGGTGTTGCAAATGTCCATGGGCGGCGGTTATCACTTAACATCAGGTGAACCGCCAGCTCGTTTGGCACTTTCTCATATAAAAAAAAAAATAAAATAAAAAAGCCTTTAATTTCTTGCAATTATACATTATTATAATTTTCTTTTAACTTCTATCCTTCGTCTGCAAGAACCCCAGATTGGGTGAAGGCCTCCTCCAAAGATTCCCATTTGTGTCGATTCTGTGCTATTTGGCTCCAGTTTGAGCCAGCGGTCTTAATAATTTCGTCTTCCCAGCGAGTGAGTGGTCTTTGTTTTCTTCGTGGACCACTCCACAGGGTAGTTTTCACGGTCCATCTCTGGTCTGTAAGCCTCGCTACGTGGCCTGCCCATTTCCACTTTAGTTTTTTGGCGTACTTTAAGGCATTAGTGACTTTCGTTAATGATCTTATTTTCGAGTGTCGTATTTTCTCTACTTTTTTATGTTGAGCATACTTCTCTCGAGTCCTCGCTGGCAGGTTGTGATTTTGTGTTTAGCCTTGGCCGTAAATTTCCACGTCTGGCATCCGTATGTCAAACATGGTAAAAGGCTAGAATTCATGATCTTAGTTTTTATATGCATTGGCATATTACTTTTAAAAATTTCTTTTAAACTCCAGTATTTATTCCATGTGTACTCTCTTTTCTATTTCTATATCGTTGTTTTTTCTGTCGAAACTTATTGTTTTCCCCAAGTATATGTACTTATCTGTGTATTCTAGTAGGTTTCCGTTAGTACTTATTGGTATTTTATGATTGTTTGTCATTGCCATAGTCTTTGCGAGATTTATTTCTAGTCCTGCAGCGGAAGAGGTAGCTTATAGAGATTCGATCATGAGATGCAGTTGTGGACCTGTCTCAGATAGTATCACAATATCGCCTGCGAATCTCAAATGATTTAAGAAGGCGCCTTGTATATAGATACCTAGTTTGTTCCAATACAGTTTTTTAGTTGGTTTCGAGGACCGCTATAAAAATTTTTGGGTATAGTGGGTCTGGTCGCCCTGTCTTACATCTCGTCTTATGGGGAAGCTGGGGCCTAGGGTTTCTAATTTTACTCTACCCGCATTGATACTCGATAGACCACCTACTTGAGACACCATACTAACACTATCCGCGTCACAATGTTCCAGGTGGACAGGGTGTTCAGGAAGCTGGACCTGAACCAGGACGGCGTGATCACAATCGAGGAGTTCCTGGAGTCGTGCCTGAAGGATGACGTCATAACTCGCTCACTGCAGATGTTCGACACGGGGCTATGACGTCAGACTGACCCAGCGCACACGCGCGTAGCAGCGAGGTAGGCTTCTCATTTTCGCGCAGGGAATGACAGCAGTGTTTTTTTTTATTCTTATATGAGATTGTAGGTAGCCTATTGACAATCAGTGGAATATAAATCTATGATTGATATCGCAGTCGCGAAATATAGTTGGAAGAATCTTTATAAGCCTTTAAGGCGCGATGAGACATCAAAGTTTTCTTACAAAAAAAAAAAAAACGAAATAGCTTCGGTAAAAGATCACATTGTTATCTGTTGGCCCTTGGCGTGTACTTTATTACTTTCACCGTCATTCAAGTATTCGAGAACTATAGCTGTTAAATCCGACAGATAATTAACAATTGACGCCAATCAATTTCCATCCAACAGAGCTTTGATAAGTACAGTGCGAGCCGAGTCCATTTAATCTCATCCAACCGCGCTTTGAATAGATTGACTGTGGCAGGGCCACGCAGCAGCCTCGGCTGTTGCACGAATGGGCAGGCTCGTCCGGGTAAGTGCCACGACCTCACAGAAGACCGGCGTAAAGTGGAAGTATAACAAATACTTTCGCGTTTCGCATCTGCAACCCTCGAGTGTAGCAGATGTCCATGGGCGGCGGTATTCACTTGACATCAAGTGGACCGCCTGTTCGCTTGGCAACTTTTCACATAAAAAAAACCCTCGGGTGTTGCAGATGTCCATGGGCGGCGGTATTAACTTGACATCAGGTGAACCGCCTGTTCGCTTGGCAACTTTTCTCATAAAAAAAACCCTCGGGTGTAGCAGATGTCCATGGGCGGCGGTATTCACTTGACATAAAAAAAAAAAGATATTGTTATTGGGTAATTTTCGATCGCCAGGAGATCGGTGAAGCGTGTCGTGCTCCACGCGCCCTGCGTCTGCAGGGTGGACAAGTGGCGGGGCCTCGCCGCCGCCGCCCGCCTCTTCGCCCACGAGGGGGCGCGCTATCTCGCCGCCTTCGACCGCTTCTACCGGCGCGCGCTGATGCCGAGGATCAAGAGCGTCATGTTTTTCCATTTCTAGACCAGCCCGTGACGCGACTGGTCCCTGTCCTCGTGTTGTAGTCGGTCCCTACAGGACTGATCGGTCAATCGGAACTCCGTTCGTAGTAACATATAATCGTGTCGTTTCGTTCGTCGCCGTAGAAGCTACTGAGCGAGAGCTAGTCCGCCACTCCGTCATATGATGTGACGGGACCCTTCCTAGTGTTTCCGTAAAAGCTAACAGTAAATCTACTTCGCTGTGTTTTTAAAAGCGATGTGTGGAGTCCCTTTCTTGGCATTTTAAGCCTTTTACGAAGCGGACGCCTTCCGAGGGCTGGTCCGTCAACTGATGCCATTCGCTCGGTAGCTTTCAGTCTGCCCGTGAAATGTGATGTGACGAGTCCCTGTTTTGTGTTTTAGATGATCTACGTAGCTATGTAGAGAAGGTAAGCCGTACGTTTTCTTATCCACCAGTACCAGTTGCCAGTAAGCGTCAGCTTATTATACGTCACCCATCACTATATAACGATTGAAGTTCTCTCATCAGAAGAACAAATTTAAGTGCTCAGCGATAAATATTGCACATCCACCTTTAGAAAGAGAGAATCATGTAATTACTACTTATGTGGCGTTTGGCAGTAGTTAAGCACAAGTGTGCAACAGAGATGCGTTCTACGAAAACGAAGTTAGTCGAATGTCTTTTTAAGCGACTTCAAAAAAGGCGGAGGTTCTATGTTCGACTGTATGTTTTTTCTTCTAAATGTTGATGTGCAATATCGTCGGGTTATAGTTATCAAAGTTGGTTTGACCGAAAGTAGGTAGACTTGAAATACCAATCAAAAAAAGATTACTTATGTCATTAATATTAAATTATTTATGTAGGAGTTTTTCTTTGAAGTGGAGGGTCGTTTATTTGCATTTCATGAGGTACAGATAAAGTTCTACATATACAGCGTGTCTTTGCAATCGCGACAATAAATGAACACACGTCTAACGCTACTTGCCAATAATCATAAAAAAATATTAACGTTAAAAAATACATAATTAAAAAAAATATTTTGCAAACAAACTAATTAAGTTAAAAAGAAACAAAATTTTTAACATCCTATACAACTACAACTGATTGATTCATACATTCAGAGACTTTTTCATTCGTTGCCACAGCGTCGCATTATAAGCCTCTCCTTCTAACAGTATGTTTTGTCTCTTTCAAATTCATTCAACCCATTTATATGCTTTGTGACCTTTACAAATGAACTTTACGTTACAGTTTTATACGTAAGGGTGTTCTTAAATTCTTTGTTTTGGAAAATTTAATAACTCGGTAAATATTGATGTTTAAAGAATGTAAATGTTTAATACAATTTTAAAAAATTATCCTCTATATGTGTCTTCATTTATTGTCGCAGTTGTAACGACACGCTGTACATCTGTTTTGAATTGTAATATTTGATCTAGGACGCCTCAGCTATCCTTGGGTATAATATAGAAAGAGGAAATGTTCATTATTAATATACTAGTATAGATAACTTGTTTGTACAGAAGTGTTTTGAACTATTGTTATAAATCCTTTTCTAAATTGAATACTCGGATAGTTTTTCAAAATTCAATTTTGCTAATTCAAATATTCTTTCTTATAGTAAGACGATGAGATCAAAACGAAATTAAAACATCTAATTTTATTAACAAACATCTTTTAAAAGATTTTTTAAATTGTTCAAGACAATGAACTTTTCGAACCACTTCTGTATTCACGTAATAAACGACTTTAGAACTGTATGAAACGACCATAGAGTTTTTGCACTGATGCTAACATTTACGCGGGAGATCTAAAAACAAAATGGCGGTTTGATTTTCATTAGCAAGCATGCGAAATGTTAACATCGGTAAATTTAAATCGTGTAGACCAAATATGTTTTTTTTTAATATAATAACGCGTTGGCAATTACGATATCTGTTTAAAGATATTTAGATATACCGTTTTGCGTCAGATTAGTAAAAATAGCAATCGTCCCCATTGAAAGTGATCATCGGTATTTATATTACCATTATTATTACTGGTCGAAAACACTATAAGTATAAATTTTCAAAAACAGAATATTAAAATTTCGTAAAGACAGATTAAAATTTAGCATGTTTCATCTATTAAATATTACAAAAGATTTTATTTTCATTCTTTATGAAATGATCGACGCTAGGACGTACTGATTTGCCTTTAGCCAAAAAATAAGGGGCAATTGACAAAAAGAATTAGGGTCACAACTCGGTTATATTTTATGTTGCGATTTTAAAAAGTATTTTTGCACTGAGTTCTGTTTAACTCCCACGTGTTCTTATATTAATTTCATTAGTATTGAACCTAGGACTCTAGAGATATATCAGGGAACTCCTTAAAATCAAATTGTAAATATGTATTAAATGAGATGTTTCAAGTCGGTTTTGTTAATTAAAATGTACTTTTTTATTTTGACCATCGATGCATTACCGACTCGGAGACTTCAATCAATAATTAATTTTAACTTGGTTAATTTTTTTTAATTTAACTAAACAACATATAAACGATTCATTTTTATTTAATTAAAAACTAAACGTTACTGAGTGGGTAGTACACTGTTATGACAGGATAAAATTGTATATTAATAATCAAAACTCGCAATTTAGATAAGTAATAAATACCTGCGTTTGAAAACATATTAAATTCATATTCTTCATGGAAAGTCCGGCTATTTCCATGAGCCCAATATATACCTATATATACTATATTTTTGAAATTTTCTATAGAATGACAATCATTGCCTAATGTTTATAAGAAATATTACCGATACGTTTTCCAAAATCCGCGTCAAAACAAGGCTCGATAAAAATAAATGCATTAATTTTTGAAACTCATATCAAATACCTGATTTTTTTTATAAAAAGCGTTACAGAATTATTCATCTGAAAATAATAACAGGGTATTCGCCGCTTAAAAAAAGCGAACAGTTTTTTAATTGATTGAATATGAACTACTGTCAAACTCAACGAATATATAAAAATGTAATGTCTTCATTTCGTGTCGTGTATTTTGTCTCGACTTATTAAAAAAATATATTATATAATACTTTTTCGATTTCTAATAAACATCTTTTCATTTTCTATGTTGCTGGCAGTTTGTTAATCTTTAACATGCCGTAGACAAGTAAAAGTCGGAAAGCTACTTCTACAGTTCTATTTTTTTAAATGTGTTCTTTTTTTATTCGTCAAAAGATACCTTTCTAAGTTATATAAAAACATTTTTTTAAAAATTACAACGAAAATTTTTGTCAATCGCAGTATATCCAAGAATTAAATCAACACCGTGATTAATAACTAAAAATGCTTTATTTATTTAAACAATTTATCTACTCGTTGTCGAAAATTTCTAAAAGTAATCTTAATCTTTTCATAGTTTAAAAAAATCCCTAAAAGCAATCATTATGACACCATATCATAGTTTAATTTATTTAGTGTTTAGTGTCTCTTTAGTGATACGTTAATTATGGCAATAAAATATTTTGAGTGAAAATTATTCGCACTGAAATAGCGAAGTATTTGCTGTAGAGAATGCTGTATTTTTTCAGGTAGGGTCTTTTGTGTACTGTTGCTACAGAATCTATTTTGCGATTGATGACCTAACCTAAAATACCTTCGAATGTTTCTTTAAGCATTAAATTCGATCAATTCTACTCATGAATACTCGGTCAAATAACAGGGGAACTAATAAGTGAGCGTATAAAGTAGTGCTAGGGAATCTCTTCCCTCCTGAACCAACAAGACTTACTGGCTGGCTCGGCGCTTAATGCAAACCGGTAGTATCGGGCGGAGACTTATTGATTACTTAAAAATTTCAAATACAAAATGTAGTTGTTCCTTGTGAGATCATGCCCACACCCTCGGCGCCAAAACCAATAGCTTGACAACTGTACCCCGGAGTCACCAGAGTTGCCGTCCGCCTGACGACTTTTTGCACCGCGACAAATGAGTGTCACCAGTAGGATCATATCAATATTTTCAAACATTATTCTACTCAACTTATTTTTTATTTATAAAAATTTTCATAAATGTCAGCTGTCAAGTCATTAAAAATAAAACACATCGATGTTTACAATGCATAGTAAACGGTTCACTTGTCGGATCTTAATGGCTTCTTCTCCTTATGATACTAGAGAAAATGTAAAGGACATTGACGGACGCGTATTGCAATTAAATTAAATTTTAAACGATAGAGAAAAATTACTAATGAATTAATCAACAAACAGAATTCTCCGGTCGCTTAGTTTTCGAAAAAAAATTAATAAAATAGTGTAAATTTCACTATAGAAATCCGCCATTTTGTCGTTGTCAATATGTTAATTCTGTTCCTATTTCTGGGTGGTCATAAAAAAAATAACCACGAAGGCTCAGATATTGCTCTGTATCGCCAGATTGCTCTGTATCGGTTCAGTGACTCATTAAATTTAAAAAAAACGAACAAAAAACGAGTATGACATCGCCCGCTTCCCATATTTATCATGTTGGCAGGACTGTATTGAGTTTTTGAAATCAAATTAATGAAATGGCGGCCTTTCTTAGTGAAAATAAAAAGTTTTAAATATTTTTTTCGAGAAAATTATAAGCGACCGGAGGATCTGCTTGTGTATTAATTCATGGCTGATTTTTTTTATCGTTTAAAATTTATTTTCATATTGTGAATATCCTTTAAATTAACCGATACTAGATTTAAATCGATGATTATCTTATGAACTAGTGAGTTATGAAAAATTGTGGTTGAACGATGACGTTTGCGGTGTGAATGTAATGGGAATATGTAATAGTCAAGTTGTAACGATCGTTTAAAACAGACATATGGTAATAATATTAAATTTTTAATGTTATTAACAATGTTATAGTAACCGTACCGCGAACAGCACGTGTAACCTCTAGACTAGTGAAACCCTATGAATGTTTTATATAGGCGAATCTATTTGGATTAATTGTGAATAATGTGTCACATTTTGACATTGTTTTATTTTGTTAATA